GGAAGCCTGCTGAGAGCAAGGGAAGCCTTCGACATCTGCACGTGACACAGTGGCAGTGGCCCCAGGACAGTGGGGATGGCTCCCCCCAGCACCCCTTTCCCTTCGGAGCTCAGCCCCATCAGCTCTGGCTGATCCCAGGGGAAGGGTTTATCCTGTGAGCCTTTAAAAATCAGCTGAAGCAGAAGGGTGCTAGCACAGCTCTTCCCTGCCTCTCTGCACTGCATATACCCTGCCATGCTCCTGTTATTTTGATTTCCCTTGGACATCAATGAAGGTGAAGGAACACACCAGCTCAACAAACAGCCTGCTCTGCTCCTGGCTGCCGTATCACACTGCTGACTTTCCAAGCCCTATAAATATGAGATTAGTACCACATCCCCTGAAAGCCCAAAGCCAGGCTCCCATCCAAGAAACCATGGAGCTGCTCTCTGGTCTAAATCTGTAATGCGGAAACACGATTTATTCCATGAGGTCCCAAGTGGGAAAACTGGCTGGGGAACATAAGTACTAATTTCTGTCAGATTATCTTGAATGGAATATTTAATATTTTAAATGGAACATCGCTTCATTGCTGCTCATGGGTACTTTGTAGCTGTTGGAAACTCTGATCTAAATGATTGTTTTAATGAAAGATTGCCAAAGGACTCACATTTTAAACTCTTATGCAGGATAACAGTGGGCCTATTTTGCCTGGGTTTCTGTTTGGGGACTGTCTCTGGGATGGACCTTGAGTTGGTGTAGTAGCCTTGCAACCAGTTCTGTCCCCATCTCCTGCTGCTCCCTGTCAGCTTGTTCCTAGTGCACATGAGCCATTAGGGACACCAGGTATTGCTGTGCTGGTGGGATGAGCAGAAGCCACTGGTAATGTTTTGCCACCTGAAGGAAGATGAATTTGGGATGCTGACCAAGATTCCAACCAGTTTTTCACTCTTAAATCACAGTAAACTACTTCTAAAGGTCACTTTTCTACTCCACGCATGTTGCCAAATGTTGAAGTCTTATCCAAGAAACTCTTCCACACAAAAACCTTTAAACCGTCATTAATGTCCCTTCTTCAAATAGAGATCTGGAATTTCAAGTGGAAATGCAGATTTTATTTATAGTCTTGGTACATTTTTTCAGCCACAAGGCATAAATACATGGAGCAAGAGCAGGGCATTGTCGTTTGTTTACTGTGTGGCGTTGCTTTTCCATTCAACTGGAGTGGTGAGTCAGCATCGCTGCTGAGCTCACCCTGTTCCCAGGGGTCCTTTCCAGCCTTTGGGTGAGAGTGTGCTCGCTGAGGGTCAGCTGCTTTTGGGTTGCATTTTAGAAGGTTACTTTACACATTGCCTTCTTGATAGCACGGAGGACTCTCCATCAGATTGCCCCATGCTGCAGTGTCAATGCAAGCCCTTAAAAAATCCATGCTTTTTCCAGATCTAGACAGCTGAAACTCATCTTCTAGTTTCCAAAAATCAAAAGATTAGCTTAGAAAATTAGTTTGGGGTGCTTTTTGTTTGTTTTGTTTTGTTTGTTTTCTTTTTTTAAATGACTGCATAGTCTTTGCAGTAAGTTCTGCTTTGGGGAATTGCTGGAGACAGTCCAGTCACAATTTCCAAATTTTTTCATAATCATAACCATGAGAAAAGTATTTTCTTTGTGATATAAAAGCAGGAGAACCACTTGCCTTTATCAGCTAAGAAAAGCACAGAATATTGTGAGATTCTGGTTTGAAAACAGTGATACTTGGTTAAAAATTGCCTTTATTCCAGATTTGGTGGCGTTTTTCAACAATTCTAGATCCTCAGGCTTTACATGCCAACATCAATCATGTTAGGAGTGGATGAACCATCACTGACTTTCTTGGGCACAGACAGGGGTGACTGTGCAGCAGAAGACTCTACCAGCAGAGCTGGAGTGTTTCCATCCACTGTCCTCCAGGAATGTCCACTGTCCTCAGCTTTTTACAGCAAGTCTTTTCTCTAAAAATGCTAGGCTTGTTTCCAGACTTGCTCAGGTCCTGTTCTTCTTTGCAGCTATGGTCCTTGGAATGTATTTACCCAGCAGGATCTGTTCTCCTTATTTTCCTGCCCCATTGGCCGTCAACAGGGATACAGGCTGGACCAGTTTTATAACCTGATGGATTCTACAAAAATGACCGTGCTCTGGCCAGCTGTTCAACAGCACCATCACCTTGGCCTGTGGGACCCCAGCTGTGCTGTCCTCCCTTTGCCATTCCCAGACATGTTTTTTCCCCAGCACTTTGCCAAGTTTGGCTGCATGCAGCTCAGCAGGACTGGGGCAGCAGGATGAACTTCAGCAGGGCTGTGGAGGAATGAATAGTTTATTATTGGTTGCCATTGGATACTGATACTGAAGCACCAATTTTAACTGCAGCTGTAAGGCTGCCCAGGGTATGGAAGGTGCAATCAGTGCTTTTGTATTTCTTCAGAAAATCCCTTCAGGGGCTGCAGCAATCCCAACGTGCCTGTAGTGCCCTTTCTTCTGGTGAAGCTTACACCTGGGAGCTGGGAAAAAAGGGCTTGTATCAAAAACTGGAAAACCAATAAGTGGAAGGAATGTTGTGTGCACAGATGTGTTCTGTTTTGTTCCAAAGCTTATCCTTGAAATGAGGGCTCTTGATACTGCATACAGACCACGTCAGGCACCCAGCATGGCTTGGTTGCTTTACTGCTCTAGTGGCATGCTTTGTGGAAGCTATGGAGCTGCCTGCACAGCCTTCCTTAAAACCAATGTTCATGATTCAAAGCTTAAAAGTACACCAGAACAGCCCTCAGGCAGTGATGTCTTACCTAACGGCCCCACTTAATTTGTTTTCTCAACTACATACTGTGCTATAAGTAGTTCTGGCACCTGCTGAAACTAGAAATGTTTCTTTCCCTGAAACCAGACACCAGGAGTGGTTAATTAACACATCCCAAATTGGCACAGGTCAGTGGAGCTTCACTGAAGCCAACGAAGCTCTATAGAACGACTTCTGCCCTGGCTCTGAGTCATGAATAGTAAATATATATAGTATAGAGGTATAGTTTAGGCTATTTTTATGCTCTTCAAATTATTTTCTTAGATTACAAAAGCAATTATAAGCCCAAATCTGGGCTTCATGGTTGGAAAAAAAACCTCACTGTTGCAGTAAATTATTCAGCTCAGTTTTTCTTGTGGTTGTTTTATGTGGACTTAACTGATCAGCAGGTTTAGCTGTATGAGAGCTAGCTCTCACAGTCCCAGCAACAGGGCTATAGCAAGGTGGGGACTGTACCAAACTTGCTGCTTTCCATTTATAAAGACAGTATAATAGATCTATAGAATCATATGTACTTGTGTTTGTATATATACACACTGCTACATACCCTACATCATCTATATACATGCATGAAGTAGTTGCTTTCAAATAATCTTTGGATGTGTAATTGAAATTGAAAACCTTGTACTTAAAAATTTCTTGATGCTTGGAGAAGTGGACCCTCACAGAAGTGACTGCTGTGGATATATGTGAACTAATCAATTAAAGCTGTGACCTGAGAAGCAGAGTCAAAATAGCTGGAGCCAGGACCTGAAGAGACACAGAGTTCAGACAAGTCACAAATCCAACAAATTCAGGTGTGTTTTTGAAGTATTGTTTTTGGATATTGTCAGAAAAATTGACATGGGATAATAAGTAACTTTCCCTCTAAGCAGCACTCCCCCAAGAGGGAGTCAAACACTTTTCCTGTAATACCACCTTGCCTGGTTCTCCAGGGATTTTACAGCCCGCTACCACAGCCTTCCAAACCCTGGTTTGGAACAGAGGTCTTGATTGGGAGCAACTTGTGCCTGTATTCCAGAGAGCATCCTGTGGCCTCCAGCAGCAATACTACAGCCTGTGGCTGCTTCACTGGCCTGCTGCAGCTTCCTAGTTGATCTGTCAGGTGTAGCCCTACATGTCATGCACTGTCTTAAACATTGGTTTCACAGGGAGGTAGGTGGTTAAAACAGATGATGCAATGAAGTATGTCTCCCTTGTTAAGCCCTTCATATTTACTCTGTTAAAAAAAAAAAAACACACAACCCTGAACACTCACCTGGTAGATTAAGAACTAACTGCTTTAAAGTTAGCCCTATTAAGATCACACCCAGGACAGGCAGTCCCTGGAGTTCATTGCCAGATAGTGTTATCTCTGTTGATGCTCAAAACAAGCGAATCAACAAGAGCAGCTTTGTATCAAAATAGTTTATTAAAAACAGTAAGAGACTTCACTGAAGCTTGCTGTCCTCAAGACAGAATTATGACATTATTGCAGCATTCAACACAATAATAATCCACATAAATATAATACTATACATCTCTTTGCCTCAACCAAGTTTTGCCCTCAGTCTGGCCTCATGCAGCCAGGCTGACACAACCCAGCCCCATGTACTTCGGTTGCAGAACCTGCTCCTCTGGGAGCTGAGTTATATCCTGTTCTGGCTTTGTGCTGCACAGTGCTGTTACTGCCTGGAAGTTGTGCAGAAACCCAACACATGTCTTTACAGCTGGAGGCAGTTTTTAGAACCAGTGTGTATATGCCAAGTGGCTGGTGATGGCAACACTTACTGATGGTTAGGAAAAATAAATATGCAACCAATTACTCAAGTTTCCAGCACTATGCAAACTGTACAGAGCAGCTTCTGTTGCCAAGAAGGAAGCTCTGTTCTGACCTGCTGCATTGCCACCTCAGCAGTGGCAGAATGACTCTTACACTGTACAGTTTGGTCTAATGCATAGAGTCACCTTTCATTGCAGCACTCAGAGCAGCACATTGCCAGCAGCTGGCTGGCATACCTCTGCCACCAGCTCCAGATGCCCTCCAACAGCATTGTTTTTTGCCACCTGCATTGTACAGAAACCAGTACTTGTCCTTGCACCATGGCAAACAGACTGAGTATCTCTATCTCAGACTTTCAGGTCAGGATGCTGCCGTGAGCTGTGGCTTGCTTCCTCACTAGCAGGGAGGCTGCGTGTCGCTCTTCTCCATCACTCATGTCCCCTGGGCTGCTCCAGTGATGGGCACCTTCTTGCACAGCTCCTGATAGAATTCAGATTCCAAAAACCGTGGGTATGAGTTATTCTCCATTAAGCTGTAAACTCTCTTCTGGGCTGCACTGAAGCAAGTATGGGTGGCTTCTTGAATATTCTGCGCAATCATGCTCTTGGTTTGGAAGTCTATATTTATCTGAAATAGGAAAACAAAGGACATTTAATTCTGAGAACTGAATTCAACTAAGTATAACACAATACACCATAAAAGGTTCTGAAGAGGTAAAAATAATCAAGACCCTTTTACTACAAGGTCAAACTAATGAATTCTCCTTTAAGAAAATTCTTCTTTTATATCAAACTAAGTAAATCAGATATACTCTTTCAGTGCTAAATCGAATATGTTACAGGTGTTAAATGTGGCTGTTGACTTTTCTCTATTAAGATGAAAACTCTGAAATACTGCTTGTGCCATCTTCCAGCTTGGTGAAAGGGCAGGGGA